CTTGGCATAGACAGTGGTACTAGTTAAATGGTTAAATGGAGAGCTATGTTGGGGGACACACGGGAAAAAATTCGAACTATGAAATGTTTCAAAAATATAACATAGAGAACAAAGGGAGAGAGAAAAAAAGAAATATACGATGATGAATTCGCAATTTTGAGAAAATAAAGAAAGCTTCTTTCATATGAGAGAGGAATAAATAAAAACATCCTCAGCACGAGGATTTCTTCTTTAAATAGAAGTATCTCTTCTATGTGTACAACATGACACAAGTACAATTGCAACATGTCGTAGTGATGAAGAGGGGGTATACCTTTAACATGACGAGGCTGTCGGAGGAGTCGCAACGGCAACTGCATAGAAATGAGCGCATTCATTGCGAAAACCGGACACGAGGGAATTACGTTTTGGGATAAAGACAACGTGGCTTCTTGCACAGAAGCGATATCACCTTTTTGTTGCGTCTCTAAAAATTAAAAAAAGGAGGATAAAGAAGGGGGAAGTTTACTCGGGAGTATAAAAAAAGGCGAAATCAAGTGTCATAAGGTCGCCTAAAAATGTCGACATGTGTACGCACGTAAGCACGCAGGAACGCATGGACGAATCATCATACTCGGTGTGACACTGAAAGGACATTTAAAGAAGGCCATCTGCCTGACTTTAACAAATTAAACGAGACATAAATGCATAATGATGAGGCGCCATAAAATGAATGCTCTCTTTGGTGATATGCGCCATTATGAACCAACATCCTGCTACGTCGGGTGGGATTGAAACGGCTTCCTCATGGGCAGGTACATATACACACATCTGTGCAGACGCCTGCATGCGCAGGTGTGCCCAATCCCTTCTTCATACCAGGTGGCCCACGTGATCACTGCCCCATCTTGGAGAAAAAGTACAAATGCTTGTTAGGGAAAATAAGTAATTTGGTAAAGGTTTCCACCCGTTTTGACTTTTCATTCGTCCGATGCAGCACATGATTTTAGCACTGTTCATATTGCTTTGTTACTTGGAGGGGAATAAAAAAAAAGAAGAAAAAAAAAAGGCATGTTATGGACATTCTTCCCTTTTTTACGATATGAGAAGACTAGTTCGTCATTCCACGTTGCGCTCTTCTTGGCACCTTATTTCGGAAGTCCTGCCATTTATATATTATTCATGTCGTACTTCATTCTAAACAGCTCAGTTCTGAATTCTATGAACGCGCTGATTAGGGCGGACAGGGTGATTTGTTCGTTGGCCCCGGAGGAACACCTTTCCTCGATTTCGCCAAAATTTTTAAGCAACAAGCACACGGCAGAGTCCGGAAAATCATAAGTTAAAATGGATTCATACAGATTCACCATAATATCCTTTATCGAGTAGCCCTTACTGCACTGTAATTTGGTAACAAACTCGTATGATTCCTTGATGCTACTTTTAGTGAAATGCTCTAATATGTCTTTAACCTCGTCCGGTAATGGTATGTCTAACGTAGACAAAATGACGTTCTGATGGATGGTCATATTTTTATGACTCAATGAAACGACTTGTAAACAATTTAGAATTCTTCTCATGTCTCCTCGTCCAACACGTATGAGACTCTCCAATCCATCCTTTGTGAGGTGCACATTCTCCGATTTGGCAATATCAAGGGCTTTATTAACCATATATTCCTTCTTGAGTGGAGAAAATCGGAATGAGGTGCACCTGGATTGAATTGCTGGGGTTATCTTATTTACATAATTACATAATAAGCAGAAACGGACATTCTTAGCATAGTTTTCCATGATTCTTCTCATGGCATTTTGTGCTGGGTAGGTCATATGATCTGCTTCATCCAAGATGATTAATTTTAGCGAAGTCTTTTCACACGTATTGTAATGATTTTTCGATTCTGCAAATGTTTTTATTTGATCTCGAACTACACTTATTCCTCTATCATCGGATGCGTTTAATTCTAATACAAAGGAGCTTCGTGACTCACCATACAGTTCCTTGCACACAGCTAAAATGGTGGATGTCTTTCCTGTCCCTGGGGGCCCATGCAACAGCAAGTGGGGCAATTCTCCCTTTTCCACAAACTTCTGGATGGTGGATATGACTTGTTCGTGCGAAATTATGTCGTTCAGGACGTTTGGTCTGTATTTTTCCACCTACGCGGGGAGGTAAACGCAAAGGGGGTGAAGAAAAACGGGGAGAAGAAAAAAGGGACGATTGGTTCACCATACGCAGCTGTACCCCCAACAACTTGTAAACCATACGCTGGTCTGCTCTCTACCATGTAAGAGCGCACAATCATACGAGTATCTGATAGGCATAACGCATTCATCGGACGAGTGTATATAATCTACTAAAAGTAATATGCTACACACGAGGAGATAGTCTACCCATTTGGTTTTTCTGTTCCCTCCTTTTAACGTAGAAATGAACTCATTTTCATCGCTCTACAAAAGGGGCATTACAGGGAGACGACAAGTGCACGACTATCACCTCACCTCTGCCGCAGCTGCTATGACCACTGTGCCCAATTGGACGTACAGTTTGTGACTGCATCATGAAGATAACCCAAGCGCGCATATGCATATAACACTTCGCGATGTCATTGCATTTATATGTGGGCATTTTTTCGCAGCTCAATTTTCTTTTTTCTGCCCTTACCCATGGTGTGAGTTCTTCTATGTTCTGGATTTGAACTTCCGCCATTTTAAAACACTGTGCCGCGATTGCTATTTTGGGAATCACTTTCCGGGGATTTTTTCACATAACATTCATTTATGATAATTCACTTAAGTGCCAGAATGAAAAGTTTCGTTTAAATTAATTTTTGTAAAAGCGGGGAAGCGTTCGAAAAAAATTGTTATAATTAGTGAGATTTTTTTTTCTCTTTTTTAATTATATTTGTCTTTTGAAAATGAAAAAGGTTCTATTTTTATGCGATTATGCTTGGCTGTTCCCTTTTTTAGCAAAGGTTTTTTTTTTTTTTAATTCTTCCATTTAAGAAAGGGGAAATACACGCGCAATTGGTTTTTCCACTTTTCACGTTTTATGGTTTACTTCAACTTCGTAATGGAATTTTTTCCGCCATAGCAAAGGAGGGGTTGAGGAGAAGGGCGCTGTGATGATTTCATGCAAATGTAATCGCTTCGCATGTTACGCGTATGTGCACGGGCTCGTTTGCGCCTACGTGTAGATATTAATGCGTGTACCTATTTTTTTTGACGAATCCCGTTTTATGTTCACCATGCTTTACTCGGAAAACATCGTCGTAAAGAGAATTCCGTATGCTTTTTTTAGTCCCCGACGTTTGGGTTAAAGAAATAACATGGCTGTTCTCTTTCATTCCTGTCTCTCGAAACATTTTTAGGAGAAAATATGTGTATAATATACACCGCGTAAAAGTAAACAAAACTGAATATTTTTTTCCGAACAGAGGCTAAAATTGGACTTTAATTTTTTTAGGATATTTAAAATTCGAAGGGGAAAAAAACAGAGTGTGTGCCGTTTATTTATGTAATCATTTCATGACAGTGATGAGTAGCATGCTTAGCACCATCCTTCGTGTATAACAGTGATGTCATTTAAGTTTCTAGTGTCATGGAAGAATACCTTTATGTCACACTACCTTTCCGTGAAATACGCAGCGAAAATGGGTGACACTGCTAATTCGGGGCGCAATTTTTAAAATAGCCGCCCCTACAGGGTACTTTTCCCGCTGATGTTGTATGCGAATATTTTGTTCCCTACGCCATTTATTTTTCTCTCAAAAGGTGGTATAATTTAAAAGTGTGTTCTCGATTTAAGTGGTTTTACTGGAATTATGCCAGGGAAATCATTTTTTTAAAATGACAGGCATACTTTTTCTCTTTAATTTCGAGTTATGCAGAAAGGGGATCTGTAAAACTGGCGTATTAATTTTCTTCATTTGCCCTGCTGGAAAAGTGGATCCTCTATTAAGGCGAAAAATGCAAAATAAAGCAAACCAAAGCAGACCATCGCAAAATAGAACAGCTTTAAAAAAAAGAAACAAAAGTACGACGGAAAAGTGCCACCTGCGCCAGATCATGCATAAGCAAAATGACAGATCGCATAGTTCCATTCTACACACTTCGGAAAGGTTTATGCATGAAAAACTCTTCACAGTGTAAAAAGAAAAAAAAAACTAGAGGGGGGAAAACCTCTTTCCTGAAATGGTGTGCATATAAATGTGCGGGCACATATGATATCTTCCAGCAGTCCACTTGGGGCTCCTCGCGGCTGCCACTTTTGAGGATTATACCGCACTTGCATGGCTTAAAAAATAAAATGTCCCAAAATAACGATACCGCAGTGCTGAAAGGTCGTACACAGGCACGAGGTTGTATGCTCCCACCGCTTCGAATGGGTTAATTCCCTGGAATTTTTTTACTCGCGAATAATTTAAAAAAGGCAAAAAAAAATAAAAAGATTTCATTGTAACCCATTTACCCAACGCGCATGTATACACATGCGAGCATTCCACAGAAAATAATGACCCTAAAAATTTGCCGTAAAATTAAGTGCCGTTTGCTTACTTTCTGGAAAACTTTATGCCAAGTCGTCATGTGCACATGGGGACATACATATATATATGTATATATATGTGGCAAGCCTGAAGCGTTTTTCCTCTTTGTTTCACAAGGCAGTCATGTGGGAACTTTCTGTCGGTTGTCCCAGCAAGCAGTCGGGAGGAAACCCATTTCCCTGTCCCTACATAGGCGTGTGTGTTTGCAAAATTTTGGTATTATCCTATGTGCCACTTGACGCAAAGGATTAAGAAAAAGTAGAGTTATCCAAAGGGACAAATGAGAAGACCGCATGCCTGAAATATATATACATTTGAATTGGGCTATGAAAAAGGGGAAATAGAATGGCACATACGCTGATGTTGTGAAAAGGTAAAAGAAGCATACACAGCGTGTAGTTGTGCGAAGGAGCTTCGATCCATTTAGAGTAACCGCCATCCCCGGGTGGAATGACCAACGCTCATCATTTTAACCATGGATAACTTGGTTTGTTTAAAGTTATTAAGATCCAGAAGAAGGTGCAACCAAAATGAGATAGATAGTATCCTGCCCAACCAATGTAACGACATAGTAGCTCTGCTTTTCTTCAAAAGGAGAAGTAACTCTAAAGATAAAGGCCTTAATTTGTGCTTTAATTTTTTCAACAGTCGTAATAGTGCCCATTTTTTCCTAAACAGTCATACGCTAAACTGCTTCTGGATATGTTGCGACAAGGAGACTTTTACAAAAGGGAAAAGTGTGCAATATCAAATTCCCGTTTTGGTTAAATTGGAGGAAAACTAAAAAAAAAAAAAAAGAAAATGATAAACAGAAAGTGATATATAACAAATTGTGGCCTCTTTTCTATTCACCATTTTCCTTTTGCAACCCCCCTTCTTAGATATCGCAACAACCTGCCGTTTTAAATTTCTACAATTTTGCACATGTCATTAAAATAAATGCTCATCTTGAAAATAGAGAAATAATGTACAATGGGAGAACCAAATGCTTTCCTTTGCGCTAATAAAGAAATGTGCATTTATATTTCCAATGGGGGACGAGCGTTCCAGTTACGTGCACCTTCTCTCCGTTTTAACAATGTAGACGTCCCTTATCTGTTCACTTCCCCCTTTTCAGAATTGAAGGTAACTCTCTCCAGCTCCATATTTATAAAAAGGCACACACACATGGAAAGACAAGTGAAAGGAATAAGTTGTACAATTTTTATATTTCCTACGATAGGCTTTTTCGCTTTGTCGTTTCTTTGAATGTAATACTGGAGCATTTTCACCTGAGACTTGATTCAAGTGGAAGGAGTGCACTCCTTCTGTAATGCGTGCAGAGGTCTTTTTTTTACCTCCTGCTCGTTGCAGTGCTGTCCCCTTCCAACATATCACATTTGTAATATCGCCTTCCCACTGCGCAGGAAAAACTCTCCTTTTTGGAATCGTTCAATGAAAAATTTGTGAAAATAATTCCAAAGGGCGAAAGGTAAGGCTTGATGATGGCTAGCAGCAGAATTTTTCACACACCTTACGTGTTAGGATTGAACAAAAAGAATCAGACAGATGCATATATGAAGTTGTGATCCGTGTAACCCCTTTTTTCTTTTTTTTTTTCTTTTGAAGCTCCTTCTTCATCGTGCTAAACGACATCGTCTGCATTAAGCTGATAGCGAAAGGACTAAGGTGAAATGGCTGAGAGGATTGTCTACCGAGTGAATATATATGGGGAGATAAATAAATGCGTACATCTATGCGCATGAAGTGCCTTTCCTGCGGTGATGTACTCCGTAGGATCACCCGTTTGACCTATTCTTGTGGTGCGTATATATGCCCCTTTCCGCTCGTTTCAATTTTCCCCCCATTCTCCAGCTTAAAAGTGACAAAAATATCAAGCTTGCAAAACATTCTGACCAATGTGAGTGATTATATTTACTTCCAGAAGTGTGTTTATCGGTAGGGACAAGGAAATGTAGCTACACCATTGTGTAGGAAAACATGTTCCATTGTTCGATTTCTTTTCTTTTTCTCTTTTTTTTAACTTTACGTAGAAATGCCAAGCTATTCATTTTGACGCTGACGGCTCAGCAATTTCTGCTCATCTTTAATGGGGGGGAAAAGGCCCACTTGGCAATAAATATAAATAAGAAAGGTAACGTTTTATCCAGAGGGTCTTTTTATTTTTTAACTCAGCGAAGTTGTCCGAATGTGTGTAACCGCGTGAGAGAGGTATACGTACCTCTTGAGTTGTATTATAAATTTTATTTTTCCTTTTTTTTTTTGCGCGCGCAGTGAGAACCTTTTTCACCGACTTCGAAGTTAGTCATGATCTGTCGCACGTATTGTTGGTCGACCTGAGCAACCAGCTTTGGTCCTTTGATTTAGAAATGTAATTGTGCCTCTTTGGCGAAAAAAGAAAGAAAAGAAAAAAAAAAAAACAAAAGAAAACATAACAGATAAGCGTAATAACGCAATGTGCTGTTAACACATAGCACACATGCTGATGCTGCCGCAGCACCTCTGTAGCCAATCTCAACCACGCTTCCGTGTGCAGGTACCATCGTCTTAATTTGGAGAGTGGAAAAAATGAAGGCATTTTTACGAAGAAGAAAAAAATAAAGAACGTTGAAATGTATTTGTTACACACAAGGGAGGAGCCATTCAGATATGTAGAAATTTGCCAAAATGGAGATGAACAAAACGAGTTCCACTCAGAACAGAAGGAATTCATCCATTTTGAGCAAGGTAAAAAAAAGGTAAAGTTCAACTTTGAATCCTATTTTCCAGACTCCTTCAAATTAAGACAGAAATGGATTTACGTAAATCAAGCGTGCAGCAGAGAGAGGGATAACAATGTTATTAGCATATGGAATTACAAAAATTTGGAGAACTCCAGATATGCTTACATACTTGGAGAAATGAAAAATCGGTGTGGAGAAAAACGGAACTTCTACCAATCTGCCCACCAAGGAGAACCATCTGAGGAGAAGGGGAAAAACAGCCATCGGGAAAGTTACACAAAAATGTTATATTTCTATGAATGGGAGAAGAGATCCACCTATTACATAAATGTTTTAAATCATTTTAGTGAATATGATGCATGCTCCCATGACGATTTAGGGAGCAATGGTGCAAACGTCTCGGGCTATGAACGTTTGGAAACTAATAGCGAAGAGTCGATAGGATCCTATTGCATAAAAATGGATTACCACCTTGAGAAGAAGTATAGTATTGACGAAAATGAGCAAATGTATCGAAACGTTGCTAGTCGGAGGGATGGAGGAGTCAACAGAGTGGGAGAAATATACGCAGTGCGTGCCAATATGGGTATCCTTATAAATGGCAAACCCACCGATTTCTATACCTACGGTGAACAGCCAGACAGGTGCGGCCAAAAAAGGGGGGGCTATTCCTATGTAGAGCCGTGCCTCCCCAGCAACGCCTCGACTCCGCACAAACCAGGAGATCCCAATTTAGAGCAATCCATAAGAAGACTTAATCAGGTACTCCCAAAATATATACAACACATCCACGTGTACGATCACTTCACCGATGTAAAAAAATTATTCCTCATTAAGCGATTTCTAAAGTGGAATAATAAACGTGTAGATAATTTGAACAAGGCGAAAAGTAAACATTCCCTGTATGGTAAAAATGTCAGCAGGGTAAAGTTACATTTATGTAGGAAGTACTTTTTTGCTGAATATGTACTCCGTCCAGTGGAGGAAGAGGAAGGTAGACAAATTGAGCGATACCTAATTGTTCTCAAAAGGGAGGGTAGCCAGATTAAGTTCCTATCCACACTGAAGAATTACAACTATTTCTACCTAAGCAGCAAATGGCATGCTCTGATCCATGTTGATGATGTGCTATGCAAAGTGCTATTCACAAATTACATGCACACTCTGTTCAGCATCAGTGCATACAACAAGAGGGAACAGACAGAGAGAATTCTAAAAATGAATAATATGAAGAGGCATTACCACTACTTTGTCATGTTATACAACGGGTTCTTAAATAAAGACATGATTTTAATTAGAAAAACGTTGAGAATACGTTCCTTCAAAGAGACGGTACTCCTATGCAGAATGCTATTTCACTACATTTGGAGTAACTTCAACATGGAAATAATTTATTTTTACTTCTTTGATTATTTTTCCTTCATAAATCATGTGTGGAAGAAGAGATACAAACGGAAGATGAACAGTTTTATGAGCATTGTAAAGCACAAGAGGGAGTGCATACAGATATACATGACATTGTCCTTGAGAAAAATCTCCGATATAGTTGACGTGATTGGAAAGAAGTACCTCTGTTTTCGGGAAAGCAACGAATTTGAACGATCGAAGATGCAAGACGGGTTTGGGGAAAATGCTAAGGGCATACAGAATGGGGGTACCTATGCCCTACATAATAATAAAAAGAAGAAGAAAAAGACTATCCAAATGAATATTACATTTTCGAAAGGTAAACAGACGCAAAGGGGCAATTTAAAGGACTCCTCCGAAATCTTAAGCCAGCAAAATGGAACCTCCCTCATTCCTCAAAGCAATCCCCTAAAAGGTGGAACCTTCGCAGATGGCCATCTCGCTCACCCAACTTCGACGAAAGAGACGCGGGGAGAAGCAGAACTGGTAGAGGACCCACCTAAAGTCAACCCCCGTTGTAATAACTCCACCCAACTGAAGAAGAGTCCCGCACAAGAGGGAAATAAGCCATCCAGGTCCACAAACCTGAACTCTGATATACCGCCTTACGGGAAAAGAACCAAACGTGTCACAGATGAAAGCAGGAGGAGGAGCAGCAGAAGGAACATTCACAGCAACGACAACAGCAAAGACATAAAAATATTTCTCATATACTACTTCGAAAAACTGTGCTTTCGCGATAACTACAATTTATTTTTGAATAAAAAGTACAGCATCGAAATGTGCTCGCTGACTTTACACTTTATCATCTCCTTTATAGACTACTTTGTAAAGAAAAAACGATCAAGGGGGATCAACTTCAGCAAAAAGAATAATGCAATTTTTCTTGAACTTAATAAATATATATACTTTGCTAAACTTTTGATGAACGTACTTGTAAGCAATTATGAAACGAGAGTAGAACAGACCAGCAGAAGAAATGTGAGCCGGGGAAATGTCTGGGAAGATCTGAAATCTTTTCAAATTTCGAATGGCAGATCCCACGAACCCAATTTTTTCAGTTCCCTCTATCTTAGTGTGTACAATATGTATGATTCGATAGGGCAAATATTGTACGTAAAAAAATCGGCCTCTGATAAGATAGGTAAGCTCCTTCAGGGAGATAGCACTGTGGACAATGCTAGAAGTGGGGGTAAACCAAATGACCAGGCGAATGGAGCAGCAGAGGGTGAGACTACTCCCCCGCTGAAAAGTAAAGTTGATAGAAAAAGTAGCAAGTGGAATGATGGAGAGTCGCTACCCCCTGACGAGTCGTTTCGCACCTCTAATGAGGGAACTTCCCAGATGGTTGGGAAACCAAGCACAATTTGTGCGGAAGGAGGAAGCACAAAGGGTAGAAGCGTAAAAAAGAGTGAACCCTCTAATTCTGACCGTTCGAAGCTAATTATAGGGAGAAGCAATCTTGGGATTCACGAAACTGTTCAGAGGGAGTACGTCTCATCAAATGATAAAATGGACAATGCTGAAAACATTAGGAATCTCATTTTTTACCTGTGCTACGCCTTCATCGCCACTACGAAGAGGGACAAGAAAGGACTTCCATACTTTTATGTGAAAGACGTCCTATATAGAGAGGTCGATACCTCGAATAAGTTACTTTGTAACGAGCGCCCCTTCGATAGTGTCATTTACGACATACTCAATAGCAACGATTTGAGCACAGTTATTTATTACATTTACACGAAGAAGTATGAATTCTTTTTGAATTTCCTTCTTCTATATTTTAACTACAACCTTCTGCACAATTTTTTGCAAAGCAATCGAGACGACTTCGTAAGGAGATTCGCCTACGCAGCTGCTCGGGTGAGTGTGAACAGCGGGGACGATCAGGCCAATTCGAAGGTCGATCCCCAGGGAGAGAAGAAGCCTACCAGAGATATGACGACGAATCAGACGGCCAAGCAGAACACCAAGCAGGCGACCAAACAAACAACGAAGCTGAAGATAAAGGTAAAGACAAACGGACAGACTAAGGAATTGAAAGGAGAATATAACGCACTTTTCAACAAACTTCTAAGCGCTATTATAAACGACTCTGGAATTACAGTTACCAGGGGAGAGACGCACAACTGTACCACCTTTATTGATTATTTGTTCAAGGGCGAGGGGGGCAACGCTTCACTAACTGGTAAAGAAAATGAAGGGCTGATTATTCGCAAAAATGGTGCCCCTTCCAAGGAAACTGCTACCTCGTGGAACTACACCAATGGGATACATAACGGGGGATGTGAGCCGAATAGAGAAATTGGCTCCACAGATAAATGTTCAGTTAAGGGAAACCATAACAAGGATGAAGTGCAAAGGGGTAAAATGAACCGCCTCTATGGTAACCCTGGAATGAACTCCACCTGCAAGCGTGTCATTGAAGAATTGTCGATGTGCTCCCCTCATAAAATGCAATTCGAAGAAAACAAGCACACATTGAAGAACAACATATTGAAGATATACAAGATGTACGACACTCTGAATGATAGCTTCACAAAGTTAAAAAACGAAATTCAAGTGAAAAATATAAACACATTTCTGCATTTTCAAAATGATATAAAAAGGATTTTAAAGAACAACCTAGTAAGTGTAATAATGGGCATATACAAATTAGTCATGGAAGATAAAGTGGAGTGTAATTCTCATTTTAAGCAGAACGTAATGAATCATTTGATGAGTAATGCGAAGATCCCATTTTGCTTCATCCATTTGAACCCCCATAAAATGGTCATAAATTACTATGGAACTATCATATATAGGTTGCTATGTAACAATATAGACTCCTACTTGAACGTGTGTGTAGGCATATTAAAAGTACTATGTGTGGATGTGTTGAAATTCTTAAAGAAGATTGCCATAAATACTCTGAAGAAATATATAAGAAATAAATTGCTCCTATTTTTGCGTAAGAATGGCTGCACATTTAGTGTAGCGGATAAGAGGGCTATCAAATTTGTGGCAATTCTGGAACTCTTTTACAGAAATAGTTCCTACGTAGCTGAGCATAACAAAGCATACACAGATTATATGTTGAACAGAAATGTTTTTAATCTTTATCACAGTGCAGCATTCTTAGGTGCACTCAAGAAGAAACTACACCGTAGTGGCCACAACTACGTTCATGACAGCATATACAAAGAGAAAAGCCCGTTGAGGGTTTTTACTCTCCTTAACATGTTCGATGCGTCTAACCTGGGAAACACCGACTTTGTCAACCATTTCGATCACGCCTCGCATCTATATGTGCCGTTCGTTATTCAGAATTTTTCTAACACATACTACGTGCCGGGTGAGAGAGAAAGGCGGGGGGAGGAAGCGACGGCGAGGGAAAGAAGGGACAACAAAAGAGAAATAAGCAACGCGCACTTGAACGGTGCAAAAACAACAATAAGCCATTTTTCACTGATCTGGATAAATACCAAACGAAGAAACACGAAGAAATGTCACCTAGTGCGGATGAAGAGGGGTTACTTTATCAAGATGCGACACAGTGGGAGAATGAACAACAATTTGCGCCACACACGAAGAGACGAAGTGGCTATACGTCGAAGCAATAAAAGGGGACAACCTATTTGGGGGAAAAAAAAAAAATTAAATATGCACACAAATGAGTACATCAAACTATATGAACATGAACGCTGTCACGCGACAGATTTGTTCTTTGAAAATTTGGACAGATTATCCCTCCAAGGGAGCAAACAAATGATTGATATCATGTCCCATATTGAAGGAACACATAGGGACGATATCCCCCGCGAGTGCGGTCTCCCATCTGGTGAGCAGAATGAGAAAGGAACAAAAATTGCAGCAAATGAACAAGTACAATTTAATTCTACAATGGTGAATGTTGCCAGAAGTCAACCCACGAAGGACCCCAGTTGGGAAAAGAAACACTCTAGCAAAATTTCCAGCTGCTATTACACAAGCAGAAGGGGGAATAACAACGTCGTTACATTCAACATGGCGAAAAATTGGATGAAATTGAAAGGGGAGGAAGTAGACGACTTGACAATTATCAGTTACAGAAATTTTAGCAGCAATATAATTAGCGAAAGGAGTAATATACTACTGAGTCGAAAAGACTCGTACAGGAGTTGCCAAGAAAAAGGAAAAGGATACTATTTCCATTTTGACAACTACGACAACGAGTGTTACTGCTTCTCCTGTGTCGGCACTCAGGTAAAAAAAGGAGAAGATGACGGTAAAAGAGAAGGCAACCAAATGATTCAGGCTGATTATAACTATAGCAATGTGGACTCGGTTGATGATTTTGTAGTGCACAATAATCAGACCATCGAGACCATCTCAGAAATTGCCCACAAAGACAGAATTGCTGCTAATGAGACAAATCTGAAAAGCGTTTACGTAAATGATACGTTTGTAATTGAGCAGAGGGAGAAGACAACCCCCGAGGACATGTTCATGCAAAGAATCAAATCGAGGGAGAAAATCCATCACGCATGTTTGAAATGTGAAGAGAAGGGTGAAAAATCATCCGGGAGATTAGCACACTTTGAAAAAAGTCACAAAGGGAAACACCCCATTGGAGAACGTTCTTATCGACTTACTCCGTGCGATTTCCGTAGCAGCGGTTCCTACCTCTGCTGCTCCATCAGCATGTTAAAAACCCTAGACAGAAACATCATGATTAGAATTATTCTACAAAATAGGGGCATGAACTTTTTGTACTTCCTTATGAAATATTTTGCCAAAAAGGGGACCCAAAAATGGTTTTCACAACGTGGGACTTACTTCCTCGAGGGAGATCTTACCCGGGTGAGAAACGAAACAGGGGGAAAAAACATCCACCATTTGAAGCGCTCCAAAAGAGGGAGAACTCTGTTGCCGTCTTCACCTGCACAAGAGGAAACACTCACCGATCATCGGATTGTTCTTAAAAATGCACATGTTAAATTCAAAGCGGATAAAGAAGGGCGCGTCGGAGGCGAACAGCCCCTTCTAGAAGACAACCCCATTTACAAACGCGTACTTTTAAAAAACAAACCGGGAAAAAAAAACAAAATAGAGGCAAAAAATTTATTCTATGAATTAATCAAACTTATTAACATAAGGTCCTACAACTCGCGTTTGTTTTTGCACATCCTGGAATACTACGCAGATAACAGTGACTTGTCTGCTCTGTTCACCCTTCTGCAAACGTTAAAACATTTTAGCGATAATTTTTTCCAGACGGTTCACAAGTCGGCTGAGTTTAACTTTTACGAAAGGATCAAAATTGGGAAGAGCATCCATCGGGTGGGAACAAAACGGGGTGAAGAGGGAAAACATCACTTGAGGGTACATTCCAAACTTGCGGAAAAGTCCCACAGGAGTGGTCAACACCTGGACGAATATGAAAAAAGTTTTTTAAAAATAATTAGTTACATTCAAAATGAGTTCCGAAATGAGTGCACACCTTACATTTACAGTTTTGTCGAGTCTGTACTGGAGGCACATGGGATTTTCCTCTTAAATTTTGACTCATTGTATAACGTAAAAATTTTGCACCACTCCCCTGGTAGTGAAAGCATTCACAGTGTGGCACCAAATGAGGAACCTGCAAAAAGGAATGTCTTAAATGATTTTCCTAAGGTGCAGAGCGCCGTAAAATCCCACCTTTTCCGTGCTAGTCGCTCCAAAAGGTGCGCTGAGAACACAAACATCTGCTACTCCATGATGGTTAAACTGAGCAGGAATCTTCTATGTTTGAATTATATATCATACGAAAATGTTGGAGGAAAATTTAACACAGATATCTCCGTCGGAAAGAACAGCAGCCTCATGCAGTACAGGCAAAAGTACCTAACTTCCAGCCGGGTGAACAAACTCCACAAGTACATTTTAACCTACCTGCTGGGAAATCAAAGCTACACAGGAATATACTTCTTCGTGTTGATGAACAGCAAGCTATTTCGATTTCCAGAGAATTGCAACTATTTAGTAAAGGAGCTTTACAAAAGAAAACATCGTTTTTTCTTCTTTAGCCGATCCTCCGAGTCACACCTTCGTTATTTATCTTGCTACATATATTCCCAGTTGCGCAACAATTTGTTAGCTCTGTCTTTGTACAATTTGGCGGACATATTTTTGCACGACTGGGAGGAGTTTTCCGCAAAGGGTGAGACTGTCAAAGTGGTAAATGTACACAAAAGCAGTGAAAAAAAAGGAGTCCAGTGGAGCCAATTTAGGGCCGCTAATGAAGGGTCTGTCCCACGAAAGCTACCCATCGACGAACTTCACCACGAGGAGGCAATATTCCACGCGCAAAAGGGGAGAGACTCGCCAATCTGTCCTCGCAGAGATGCCTCTTACAACGTCAACAAAGTAGCAAATGAGCACATGCAAGGGGAAGCACTGGGGCAATCACATCACGACGATGCGGAAGGAACGAACTCCATTGTGAACTCCATTTTGAGAAGAGACAAAGATTCCATTCCCTTCATGTCCCTTCACGTGCTGTGCTTTCTAAATTTTAAATTATTTCTTTGCATCTTCATGTTTAGCAATGTGGACATCTTTGACTTGAAAAAAAATAAAGAAAATAGTCCAACTTATGTAAACATATATTTTTTTAAAAAATTAACGAAGAAGTTTATGCCCTCTATGTATGAAGCGTATTTTGGAAGCAAAACATTTTTGAAGGCCAAATTTAAAATCAGGTTGGAAGAGGAAAAGGGCCCAAACAAGGACCTGTTCAAGTTGGCCATCCGAAATTTAGCGAAATATTCGGAGAACTACCTCAAAGTGGGGAAGCCGAGGAATGCACTTCAGCAGGGGGGCTCACACAACAAGACAGGGAAGGGCTCTCACATCCTATGCTTCGAAAACATCCCAATAGTGAACAAACTGTGCACTTCTCGCTGGAGTCGCACAGATAGGAAGTCCAATTTGATAGAAGCCGTCTCGAAGATGAAAAAACGCACATGTTCTGAAAAAAAAATCCGTCATTCTGTGATGCAGTTAGAACACTGTTATGATTCATTCACCTATAACAAGGACTTGTCATTAAAGCAATTGCTACAACAGACGGTGGACGAAACGTTCTTTAAAACCCACTTTGTCCCCTTTTCCATTTTTAAAAATATTTTTAAAAGGGAAGAAGATTATCCGTCATTGGAATGTATGGATGAGGCTGCTTCGAAGGGAGGGGATATAAAAGAGAACCTTGAAGGAAAAGCACATTCAAAAAAGAACCAGCGCGTCGAGGCGTATCGCCTATTTTGTAGTGACTCCCTCGCTGAAAATAAAACGTTGCGGGGCATGTACAACTATAGGACATTCTTTTCGGACGTGAGGAGGGGCCAAAAAACAGACCATTACGAGAGTTATGTGGCAAAAATTAGGGGTGGTGACCTAAAAAAGGGGGAATTAAAAAACGAAATGAGGAAATCTACCTTTTGTTATGGACAGGGCAAACGTTACTATGATGGTACGCCTGAGGATCCCCCGCAGTGTGGACAGAATAACTGCAGCCCGATCAGCAAAAACCGCTTCTATTTTTTAAAACATTTTGATGTGAAGCATTTCCTGATTTCCTGCCAACCGTTGGTAGCATATCACATCCTGATCATTAACCATGTCCAATACAGACACAGAAGGGAAGGAGACCTATCAAAATATCTATATATAAATAACTTCGACACGAAAGGGTGCAACGATTATCTCTTAAGTAGCAAGGTTCACTTACCCCTAAATTTAACAGAAGATTTAAAGAATGTGATTAGCGACTTATGTTTGCAGCTGAGTATCTTCTACTTTAACAACAACGATATTCTGTGTTCCCTGTTATGCTTCCTACATCTGTGTAATGTCAACATTGAAAAAGTGAAAATGTACATCCTTTCCATGAAGAGTATATATTATTACTTTAAAAAGAATTATAAGAGGAGGGCCTTCTTTGACAAGTGGGTAAAAAACTGTATGGACTTGCTCAAGATGGATAATTACACCCTTGATGATTTTCGCAAACAAAGGAAGAATATATTTTACGAAAGCTTTAACCTCACAGGTATCAATTATTATGACTTGTTTGAAAAAAGCTTTATCGAATTGATTGTCATTAAACTGTTTTTAGATCTCTTCAAAGAGGGGGAACAAACGGACGTGGACTGTGCTACCCCGGAAAGGGCAAACAAATGGGTCACGCAAAATAGCATCAGCACAAGTGAGACGTTGGGTCTTCCATGTAAGAAAGACGAAGAAGGGGGAACAACTGTGGGAGTGCTCATTGGGGATAAGTACAAAACTATAGAAACGCGTATGAACATGTGCAATGGAAGGGGTAAGTGCGACTTGTCCGTTTTGCATAGAACGGACACAGATAAGTTACTCCCCCGTGAGGAGAATCAACCTAGGGGGAGAAATATCAACAGAACGAATCAGAGCATAGCCATTCCCGATAAAGATGACATCGCCCTGAGAGGAAACATGAATGAGTACCATTTGGAGGAGACACAACCGGGAAAGCAACGCAACCGTGCAGGGGTAGGGGCAGATTACTACACAAGCAAACCGGAGTCAAAAAAGATGTTCATCCTGATTCTGCTAGAAAAGTCCATACAGTATAGAATAAGGGACAAGAAGAGGAAAAAGAAGAAAAAAAAATACTTTAACGATTTTTTAAACATCATTTCGCTCTACTGCAAAGTGAACAATGTGCACCAGCCCCTAACGTTGCTACACATTTTGAGCAAAAAAAATGACATTTTTATATTCTTCTACGAATGTATTGATAAAAATATAGACATTAAGACGTGCCAAGACATCGTGAATTTATACACAAAGAATAAGCACACCAAGAGGCACATACTCACCTTCTTAAATCATGTTCAACAATATATGAACACAATAATGAGATGTCAAGCGGGGGACAAAGCGCACAATTTGGAACAACAAACTGCCGAAGCCGAAAGCGTCGGAGGTAGGGATAACTGCAGAGATGAGATCCTCAATAATGGTAGTGGATACAAATCTACCAACGCACTGCTGCAAAAGATACAAAGCGTCTTTACGGGGAATACCCATTTTTACAATCGCGAAAGTGACACAATCTACGCAGGAAAAACAATTCTGGAGTTACTCTACGATTTGATTTACAACAATTATGACTACAGGCGTGTGCAGAATGCTGTCGAAATGGTTATCAGGCATAATACCTTTTACACGAAATTTTATATATACCTGATGGCCTACGTGCAGTTTATTTTTAGAAGCACTTTTCCCCACCTATTTGTGGACAGGTGCAAAAGGGCAGTAGGAGTAATGTCCACCCAGAAGCATCTTAACCTTAGCCACCTGAACAAACATGAAAAAACCTTTGGAAGGAAATTTTACTCATATGATGATCTTCACAATTTTATAGCATTGTTTAAAAAAAAAAAAGCAGAATATAGCAACTTAATGGTCATGTTAAAGAACGTGTGGTTTTACCTACAAATTCGTGGGTATCTATTATATCTCAAAGATATGCAACTTTTAAACCTGGAGAAGTTGAAATTTTACCACTGTGTGCATAATTTAGGGGAGTACCAAGTGAAGAGGATGGACGTCTTTTTCGATGTGATGAAAAAAAAAGAAACGACATATGTGCTAATTTTTTTTCTCCTTACCAATGGTATATACAATTTACTGGACAGATTTCTCTACATCTTTTATTTTGACAAACCCATAGTTTGCTTCTGCAATTTTGTGCGATGTGTTCGCGAGTGTCATTTTGACCTGGCACTGCATTATCTGAAGAAGCATTACAACAAGTACATTAGGAGGAGGTGCACAAATGGAAACAATTTATACTACTTTTTTTTTATGCACCTTGTAAATTACCTCTTGATGGAGCGACCCAGTACGAGGTATACCACTCGAGTGAACAGAGGGGTGGCCGCCTCACCATAGTGTTCCCCCTTTTTTTTTGAGTGAAATTTGATATTACCTCCCCTGTGTTTATGCCCCCCACCACCATATGGTAGGCATCATCTCACTTGATAAAAGCAGTTATTCTCATGTATGTCACTGCATTACCATGGGGTGTTCGATTCCTTCCCTCTGTGCAGACATATCATTCTGGAGATGCTCGTACGAACAAGGCAAGACTGCAAATACGATTTTGCTTTTTATGCGCATAACGCTCTGGTGAATGTGAACCTGAGGAAGGATATTCACTTCACCATTTTGGATGCATGCGAAGAATTAGCAGATAGAAAAAAATTTGAGAGGGCCCAAAAAATGCTGATTGATATTCATGCGTCTATAGAAAAGACCTCCTCGAAATATGCCTTCCCGTACAACAAGGGGCACATTGCATTGAGCAGATTTGTTCTGACACATTACACATGTTTTAAAAACTTTTTATTTATCATAAAGGAGAAACATTACGTGGACGACTACCTAATTGCGCTGTATAATGTGTCCCTCTCGTGGGGATACTCGAAAGTAATTTTCCTCACCTTTCTTTTGAACTACTCATACACATTTCAATCCAATTTAAGTGTCTACGATCAGACAACCATTTTGCTACTCTGTATATTGATCACAAATATGTTGAGAAAAGAATCCAATCAGGTGTGCGAAAAGGTTAGCGGGAAAAGAAAACCCATCTTCCTGTACGTGGAGGAAAAGATACTATCAACTAGAAAGCTGCTTAGTAGGAACTCTAAAGGGAGAAGAAGGAAGGAGACGGAGAGGGAGAAAAAGAAGGAGAAGCAGAATGAGACAGAGAAGGAAAAGTGCCCCAGCCTGTCCATACTGAACTTCCTGCCCCTTAACAATGAAGAATGCGAAAATTTGTTTCTATTTAAAGACTACAATGAGAATAGAAAAAAATATATAAAATATCATGAGGACACCTTTCCCAACTTTGAAGCAGACAATGAGCATCTGCAGTTTCGCGATGAGCTTTACTACTACGAGGCCAAGTTCTTCCGCAATTTTGAAAGAAACGTACAAATTGTTAAGCACCTGTGTGTGAGTAAAAAGACAACAAACGATCTGAAATTGAAAGTATTGTATCTCCTGAACCTATCAACAAGGGATAAAATTTCTATACAATTTAAGCAACTGAGTATACCTCGGATAAAACACATTTTAAAAAAAATCAGGACGCAAAGAAATCAAAATACAGTAGTGCATGTGCACAGCGTCACTAAAACGAGGATTCCCCCATGTGGAGTTACAACAGATCGGCAGTTAAAACGGATAAGCCAATTTTGCAGGAAGGGGGAAGCACCAAGTGATGAAAATGTGACAAATGTGAATTACGTGGAAGGTATACAAAAGGGCCTTCTACCAAAGTCCACCCAAGGAATAAGCTTATATGGGAGCAACAACATGCTGACGACGAGGCCTACTGGAGAGCTCCCTAACCCTCATGACCCCTCCACGTATTGCAAAAAAAAGGAAGCCATATATTCAGGAAGTCGTGATATAATCCTTAATCAAGGAAAGGACATCGGAAAGGAGAAACAAAAGCAAAATGACTCACATGATGAAAAATTCATTTTTAGGGAAAAGAGTCATAAAAGGCTCGCAAACCATGAGGACAACATAACCATTTTGGTGAGCATTTTTATATGTATAAATAATTTAATTAACAATTTTGATGTGATCACGGCGCAGCGGATAGTAGACAAGTTTTCCATTTTGAGCATATACAAGGAAATAAAGAGGGGTGAACGGATGATGCTAAAAAAAGGCACACCGTCGAAAGAGTCATTTCGACAGAACGCAAAAAAGAGCACCAATACGCGTAGAAGTAACCTAAATTGCCATGTCAAACGGGAGAAGGGAAGCACAAATATACACAGGGGAGAGGTATCAACGTCGATGGAATCGCGATCCATTTTTGACGTCTGTCTAAGTGATCGAAACGATGAGAAGTGGCCTCCCCCTTATGACCCGTTTCGAAAAATAAGAAATTATACCCTCTTTAATAAAAACGAAATTGATGCAAAAAAAAATCTGGAAACAAAATTAAACATGAAAAATGACAAGTCCCATATGCACATTGACGATATATATAAGTACGTTCACTACAATTCGGTTTATGCCCTCGTTATATATTACTGTTTGTGTAATGGCCCCAGATCGGGGGAGGATCTAACGAATTTATTATCCCACAAGAGGGGAAAAAGAACTTCCAACCTGTTGCAACACCTGTTTGAAAGAGCCAGAAAAAAATGCAGTTGCGATATTTATGCATTTATTCTAAGGGCAGAATTATTACTTACCGTTAAAAGCCGAATATGTGGAATGAGTGGTCTTATAACAAGACCGGTGCTCCATCAATCAAATGGCGACCCCCTCCTGTTAACACTATACTTTTACCTTCTAAAAAATTCAGTTAGCCTAAACGGAACGAAGGCGTTCGATGCGTCCGTCGGATTGAAATTCACGTACTTGTTTAAAAGCAAAATGAATACCCTTGCTACAAATTTACTGATTTATCATAACTTTATTTTATTCCTTTTAAGTAACTTCCAAAAGTACTGTTTGCGCGAACGTCTAGATAAAAGCCGCGTCACTGGCAGTGGTAATATGGCTATCTCTCTGCAGAGGTGCACTCGGGAGAGGAAAAAAGAAAAGGAGCACTCAACAGGGCACTCACATTCGGAGAATGGCGTCGCCAAGGGTAACACCGCCAAGAATGACACCTCCAAGAGACGATACACGGATAGAATTTTCCTTTACCACGAATGCTCCCACGAATTCTTCAGTCAGTATACAAATATGATATTGACCAATTCATGCAACTGGTTATATGGGAGATGCTACTTTAGGAGCCTGCTGGATGTCTACTTCTACCTGTTGCGCGTGATGATAAGGAATGGGCGCAAAGGGGAAGGGCCACGGAGTAGGAGGAAACCAGGATTCTACTACCGCCAGGGAGATATTCGCAAACTCATGGAAGGAATCAAAAAAGGAGATCCCAATTTTTCCAACATATTATGTTCCAACCTGATTAGATTCTACCGAAAGGAGTGCATAGTCTTACCCTCAGAAGTAGAAGTAGAGATGCTTATCTTCTTATACAAATTAGCGTGCAAATTCACATCAGAGCGGCATACCACTTACATTACGAATTTGATCAAAATGAGAAGGCACATGTATCTAAGAAGGAAAAAAAGGCACCTCATTTTTCGACTTCTGGTAAACATAAACGAGTATGACAAATTAGACTTCCTATTTAAACTACTCTTTGAAGATATGTCCATTTTTGATTTTTTAAAGTATAACAGAAACATGTTTTTGTCTCTGAATGTGTACAATTTCAATTGCGACCTTAGCGTTTCGCTCAATAGCAGCTGTTTATTGTACAATCAGACATTGTGCAAGTTAGGTCCCACGCGTGCTGGGGTAAACGAGTATTACCGTGCAGATCGGCTGTCTGAGGAAAAGGCACCAGGGAGTGGCACCCAAAGGGTAGAGACGGTAGTTAACCACTCGGGTGATGATGTGGCTCCAAATAGAGGCATCATTCGGAGACGCAAAAATGCTCAGGCGAATGTGAGGAGCGGCGGTAGAAGCGCCAGCAATCGAGCCAATAATCGCGCCACTAATTACGCCAGTAATCACGCCAATAATCACGCCAGTAATCACGCTCTGCAACGCAGTGGAAAAATTAAAAATGAAAAAGTTCTGCACCTACTGAACGCCGTGCACGATTTGTACAGAGAAGAAAAACAGGAGAAAAAGAGGGCAGAGCAAAACCAAGTAAACATTTTCTACAATTTTAAAGGATTAAAATTTTCAGATTTGATCAATTTTTACGAAGAGAATTACGTCAAAACATTTGAAAAGAGCAAGATGATCCCCTCTGCTTCTCCCTTTATATTTTATGATGACCATTTGTTTGTCTACATATTGTCCTTCTACGTGGTGCAATACTGCAAAGAGTTTTCTAAATGCGACATGGAAATGTTAGCACGGGTTTATAAACAAGTGGGACTGAAGCATGAGCTGTACGAACTGCTAAGTCGGGAAGCAAACAGCTGTGTGCAAAGTTTAAAGGGAAATAAAGACGTGTTTGATCTATTGCACGTTCGTACAATAATCGTTTGCATAAACCTCCTACACCATTGCGCTCTCATATTACTAGAAATGGCCAATTTATATGAGTACCACACAAACTTGAACGATATTTACCTCCTAATTTTGCAGCTGAAATATGTATATTTGCACAATAAGCTACATTCACAACAACGGAAAAGCAGCAATTTCTTAGCTTATTTCGACAAATGCATTGCTTTCAACCATTTGGGGCGTAAAAAATTGTACGAAGACAATTTTGAGAAGATGTTTGACCACGTTGTACAGGAGAACATTCCCATTGGCAACTACAAAATAAACTTCCTCAATTTAGGTCTTGAAGATTTTATTTCGTTGGTGGAGCAACACCCTGTGTTTTACGAGACGCTGATTTTGTTGAAGGTACGAATCTTCACAAATAATGGAAAAACGACATGGCCGCGCAGAGAAAGGGTGGCTTCCCACTGGTGCAAACTCATGCGCTATAAATAAGTTCATTCATATGGGAACTTCCTCCCCCTTGTGCACATACAGCTACGCATCATGAGTGTGGCAAAGGGCCACACTTTTGCAAAAATAATTATATGCTTCGCCAGGCACGCGAGCTGATATGCACACCGGAATTTTCCCCTTCCCCTTCGTAGGCCTACGAAAAAAATTACGACGATCTGGTGTACGCCTTTATCCCCAAAATTTTATACATCCAGGTTATCCTTCACGGCAATAAAAAATATTTAAGGGATTACTGCTCCTACAGTTGCGTCGACAACAACACCATAAAATATGTGGCTAAGTTGTTTCAAATTAACAGCATTCACTTAAAATTTCATAAAAATTTCCCAACCGAAAAGTATAAGTATTTGAGTGCCAAGAACGACGTGCTGACGTTTGATTTTTCTCGATACATTTTATCCGCCATAAATATACAACCCACTCGCGCCGGGGAAAAAGAAACAGTTTGGGACTACGCCCATCACGTGCGTTCGCTGAAGCACATACTTGGCGAAACAACCAATATCGATTTGAAAATGAAGGTGAGACAAAAGTTGCCCGCACGCGCATGCAAACGCATACCTGTGAAAAAGCGTACCTGTAAAAATACATACGCACGAAAATGCATACGCGCAAAAATGCATACACGAGAAATTGAGACAATTTAAATGTATACAATGTTTAAACATACATTGTAAAAATCTCAACCACGCGCTCACGCGCGGTGACATATAATCCACTCATTCACGTGCCAACGCGACTGAACTCCTTTCCATTCAGGTTTGCAAAAGCCTCGGACCCGACTTTGATGACTTGTTTTGTGAATGCAGGAACATTTTGAACTTAACGATGAACTAGCAGGGGGAAAAGGGAAAAAAAATGCGACAAAGGAGGGGACAAATGAGGGGGAAAAAAGAATGCGACAAATAAAGGCAATGAATAAGGGCAAAAAAGGGACTCAAAGATGAACAACTACTTTGTGCTACCGCCCGGGAACAGAAAACGAAGGATGAACTTTTTTTTTCTTGTCGCGTGAATATTGTTCATATGGAAACATAACACGTTGCAAAGCGTACATAAATGGGTAATTTTAGAAAGTTAATATAAGCATGCTTGCTTCCCTAGCCCAGTCGCATTATCTAAGAGATTACGCAAATAATATTATGTACAAAATCAAATTCGCGTTTCATTTGTCCCTTAAAATTGTACAAATAGGCGAAAAGTAGGCATGTATAATTAGTAGGCAAGTTTATGATTTTTTTTTCACCATTTTTGTGAATCTTTGAATCTGCGAATTTGAGAAATTGCGAAATTGCGAATTTGCGTGTTTATTTTTTACAAAAAAGAGATTTCTCTTTTCCTCTTTTGCGGTTTGTAAAAGGTATGTAAGTATATATAATATACCAGCAGCATTACACAGTGTATTGTACGGCATATACATAATATATATATATGTAATTATGTATGCCTACTGCTTAATGTACGCCCTGCAAATTCGTATAATGTCATATTTGGAAAAAATATTCCGTCGTTAAATTATGTCTTGTTTGTTTCCTTGACAAGCTGTCGCTTCGTCCTTTCTGGAAAGCGTTCATATACCTTCTACCAGCCCATCGGCATATGCCCGGGATACGTCATCATGATATATAAATATACGTAACGGAGCTATAGCATGTACGTATAAGCAAGTATAGAGTTCTGTACGTGAGTATATATATACGTATATATATTTATGTGCCTTACGGATATATGCAAATAATTTGTATAGCATAATATAGTATACTTATCGTATCTGATAATATTGTGCTGTATTAGTTTTTGTGCCATATTTATGCTGTATTATTTCTTATGCTATACGCGCCTGAGGTACGTATTATAAAATACGCGGCAACATTATTATGCGTACAGTACGAATACAAGCAGATCAAAATTTACGCATTTTTACATACCACTGAATATTATGAAAATAAATATTCCTGAGTTGTACCATAAATAATTGCGTATGTAACAAAAATATACGCTTTTATGGAAGTATTTATTTATTTTTTCTTTATAAGTATACATACCCTGCAGCAAGATACTCCCTTTTTAGTTTTTTTGTTTAATAACTTTTATTGTCATTACGAATACTGGCACTTTTTGTTTTCTTGTGAATTAATTCATCCTTCGTGGGGAAAATATCCCCCAAATTGGGGCAACCAGCGAAGAGAAGCTAAGCGAAGCAAAGCAAGAATGAAAAAACCTTGTCACGATTAAAAACATGTTTGTTTTAAAATGTATTTATACTTTGTTTCTCCAGTGCTCCTCTTTTTACCCCCTTTTTTTTTCTTTTTTTTTTTTCTTCTCTCATATGTTTTACAGAGCTTTTTGCGGCAAAAAAAGCATAACGGCTGATTCCCCATAGAGGAACTGCGCGTGAAAACCAACTTACGTAATTGTATGCCCAAACGGGAAGTTGCATTGCGTAGTTATTGCATCGTGTTTCTGTGTGAATGTATACGCCAGGATAGAGAAAGGCCGACTTATATCTGCGCATACCCCACATTGCAGAGAATAAAGCGGAAAGGCAGTCATAGGAGGTAGTGGTAGACCCATCGCACACGTAAGAGCAGTTTGCTTGAATCCCCGTATTAATCCAGTTTCCTCACTCGTTACATTAACGGATTGTGCGAAAAGAGGCCACGGAGGTGGGGCAAAATGGAAAAAGTTATTAGCATGCGAGAAATAATAACAAACACGAGAAAAATAAAATTGCACGAAAACTTTTTAGAAGACTGTAACTTGAAAGACATATTTTACAGCGGACTGGAAACGGTTAACTGTGGGTACAACGATTATGTAAATATCAAAACGTGGCTTTTTGTCATAGCAGAAAAATTATTTTCAGATGATTATGAGGAATTGGCGTACGTAGCATGCGACGCATTAAAGGTGTTGCTCTGCAACAGCCGATTTTTAAATGTCATTATTTTTAAATTGTTAAAAAAGATCCTCGAGAAGGATATACTAAAAATAATGGGCATTTGCTGCTTAACAGTGGCTTCCCGAATGCAGCAGATAAATGAAAGCACGTGTTTTAAGGAAATTTTAGAAATGTTAGAGTTAAACGATAAGATAAACGAATTTAACATCAGACAAATCGAAATAGATGTTTTTGTTTCCTTGGCCCACTCAGGATTCTGCTTCGAAAAAATACTCACCCCTGTAAATGAACTGTACCAGATTATGAGCTTTTTGGAGAGTTACCAAAATTTATTTGAAGGTGATGATTTTCATTTATTCCAAAGTTCGTGCAACTTAATGCTGCGAATTATTTATTGCATGGTCCCTGTATTTAATATGAACATATATAACTACTCCATTGTTAATTATGTGTTGCGATTATTTATAAGAAATAACGAAAAATATAAATATCTGTTTGAAAAGTTGAAGGAAAATTACAACGATAAGGAAATTATCGATATCTCGAATTTTCAAAATCATATGTTGAATATTATCAACGCGTTTAAGAACACCTCGATTTTTTCTGCCAAGGATTCCATACTGAACAAGCAGAATGACATTGAATTGTTTGACAACATAAATCGAAGAATAGAGAACCAGCGTAATGGGTACAGAGATAAGGAAAAAACTTGATGACCTCTCACCACCGACCGTGGGGTGGGTAGGGGAGGAGAGTGTTTTTCCCCACTCGCCCCCCATTGGATTCATCATTTGGCCACATCTCTAACGACACCACGCACTGTACTGCTTTATTTTTTTAAATGTATATATGCAAATTGAAAAATATGGTATTTTTTATAATTAAAATTTAAAAAAAAAAAAATGGCATAAATATATGTTAAGTACCCCCCATGGGGATATACATACCCTCTAATATCTAACAACACATAACAAATTGTAGAACAAGACAACAGAATGGAGACTTTCTAAAGAGGAACGAAGAAAACATTTAAATGTATCCACATTATGTCCTAATTAATCTTTTTTGTTTGCTTATAAATTAGCACTTAATTTAGACACCTTATTTTTTATTTTTTTTTTATATTGAGATAATTTTGTCTTGAATGTAGCAAATTAATTTGTCCTATTTCGTTTGTTTGTTCCTAGATTGTATCATCTGTGGGTTGTTTGTACTTCTGGTTTGTATTGTTTTGTTTTGGGTACTTATGACATTATTCCTTTTTTTTTTTTTTTTTAAATACCATTGTAAATGATAAATTATTTAAGATGTATTTTTTTCATATGGCTACATTACCAGCATTATAAATGCCAATTGTGTGCATATGTTAAATAATATATAATTATATATCCCCCTTTTTTTTTTTTTTTTTTTTATGGATATTACTTGATATCTTCCTAGTAAAGCTATACCTATATTGTGAATACTTTTATGTGTGGTTTATTAATTATAATACTCCCCTTTCGTGTGAAAGTTATCTTAGTTTGACCTTATTTTTATTTTTTTTTCTCTCTTTTTCTTTTATTTAGTACTTGTTTTTAGAATTTAAAAAACATTTTGTTAAAATAAAAAGCGGCATCCATTTTTAGTAAAAAAATGGTGAACATTGAACTGAAGGAGAGCTGATTGGTTGAGGAAGGGGGGCAATAGGCCGCCAAACAAAAGAAAGGGCAAAAAATGAAAGCACACCACCCACCATGGCGAATAGTGTCTACGCGTTTTGACACCCTTGCGTAATTCTGGGCAAAACGCTGATAATTAAACGGTTACCTTCGGATCCTGCTCACCGGCGTATGCCCTTAATTGATGGATAATTCTCCGCAAAAAATTTCGGCAACAAGGGGAACTAAATAAAAGTAGATCCCGCGTTTTGGTATTCTCGATGGCTGTCCCTTTTACTTTTTTCTCCTTTCCTTTTTCCCCTTTTTTTTTATTTTTTTCTCTCATTTATGGGGCCCCCCCTGCCCGTTAAGTCGCACTTGTTCGCCATTCATTTGGAACGTACGCCCAAGCAACAACATTGACCCGTTTGGCCATGCGGGAGGTTAAAGCTGCCAAGTGGGCATCACTGTAATTGGGACTATCCCTGGGATTGCAGCGGGTTTGTAGCGAGTTCGCAGTTTTTCCGAATCCCCATTCAGATCAACATAACTCTCATGTTGCTACGCAGAAAGGGGGGAAACTTCTTACCGTTTAAACTCCTCTCCAGCGAGGAGCCATCTCCCCTTACGGAGCAACAAGCCCCTCCGGCTCTGTCGCTTTGACATCCGCATAAAAGAGCATGCCCATATAATGTTCCTTGCATATTCAATAAAACTTACCGGATGATGGAAAAAAGAAAAAAAAGGCGAAACGATGATAACGCCCGTAACGTTTATATGCTGAAAGAGTTGCTCATCAATAATGAGAGCACTTCTGCTTGCGTTCAGTGTTGTGAAAGGAATTCGTACGAGACGTGTAACAACATTTTACAATATATAAAAAAATATTTGAACATCCCCTTATACGTCCTCGACCTTGTCAGTATTTATAATCAGGACAATATTGCAAAGTTCGTTAAAGGCGTATTTGCAGAGTTTGTAGAGTATCTTAAAAGAGAGAAAGTGCCCAAGTCGGTGCTGTTTCTGCCCTACTTTGATGATTGGGTGTTGTCCATAAGAGAGGATGGCAAGGGGAATCGCCACAGCGGTGATGCGGCTGGCGATGGTAATGATGACGATGATGACGACGGCGATGACGTTGGGGGTGCCCATGGCTGCAACGGCGAACCAGACAAATCAACAAATTTCTTCCAAACGAATGGTCGTGGAAAAAAAAGGAACGCACGAGATGTCAATATGCATATATATAACTCCATTTATTACTTAAAAAATAAGTTGCTAAAAAAATGGGGAAAGAAAAATCTCTGTGTTAAATTAATCGGTTTACACAAAACGAGGGGGGCTTTCGACTTATATAATGACCTCTTTGATTGCAAAATAATTATATCTCACTTTGTCAGTACACCCAGCCCATACTACATTCACATGAACAGAGACATCCACAAAAGGCTCTCAAAGAAGAAAAAATTTTCGATCGACGATGTGTACTCCGTTTTGTCTAGCAAGGTCGATTATTTTGACAGTGCCCGCGAAAGAAATGTAAATCTCTTTAAATGCTTCTTTGAATATTATTATAAATTTCAAAGGGCTGTTATAAGAAGGTCCAGAAAAAGGAGATACAGGACAAATCTGGAAGTGACAAAGGTAAATGCTCAAAGAGAAAGTCAAAGTTGTGAATCTTTAAGTACAAATTTTAAATGGGTAAACTGCCTCACAAATTTGAAGTATTTTAAGTATCTTCGAAAATACAAATATTTTTTAACCAGTAAAAGAAAGAAGAAATTCACCATTTTTTTTTCCACACATAATGACACATACTTTTGGAAACATATTAGCGAACGATTGTACTCACCTTTTTTTATAAAAGAATATATTTGCACTCTTCTCAAAAGGCACACAAAGTTGAGTGCCACATTTAAAGGTTCGAAGGGTACCGCTGACCGTGGTGACACGCCCGGGGTGCCTGGAAGAGAAGAAGACACCACAGCAGGGAACTTGACCCTTAAGAACAGCGGTAAAAAATACCATGCTTTCTATGATGAACCAAATTGCTGCCACAGGAGAGATAACTGCCTGCATGTGGAGCCCAATGGAGTTAGTTATGCCAAAGAATGGGTAGACCCAACATTAATGTATAGTGGATATATCCGAAAGGGCACGAATGACGACCATTTGGCGCCTATTAGGAAACGGTTCATACTGAAAAATAGGTACCAGCGCGATAATAACTACTGTGTGTACAATTCGGAACCAAGAACTTTATTAAGATTTTATTTTAGCAAACTAAATATACCTAACATTTGTTTGATATATGGGGCCAGTGGCGTGGGGAAAAGCACCTTACTCCAATTTTTAGTTCACATCATTAGCTCAAATTATAAGGACATCTCTTTTAGCGAAAAAGTGATGCCCCTTTCAGTTCACAGCGCCGGTGGAGGGGATGCAGATGAGCCGTGTGAGGGGCGAAGCACCAATACGAATAAGCAGAACATGCGTGAAAGCAAAAGTACAACTTGGGGAGGAAAAAGCTACAGACACGTGTCGTATGCATCTCTCATGCGGAGGATCATGCTTCGAGAAAAAAAAAAAATATTTCTTCAATTCCAAAATGTGTGCATAATTCCATTCGAAAACCATCTGTTGGTAAATAAAACAATCGGGGAAAATAGCCGGTACATAAAGAAAATTTTCACCATGGCCTTCAAAAACCAGCCAGCCGTTATAATTTTTGATAACATAGATCTATTTCTTGAGAAAAACAGCAATTACAAACATCCTGTGGATGATCAAAATGAAGATGTATACAAAAACATTTACAATTTACTAATGCATTATTTGCGTACCTACGTGAATGGGTCGAACAGAATAAAGTTTCTCGCAACGTGTAGTGTGCATCCTCAGTTTTTTAAATTTTCTTTCCTCAATTTGGTGCAGCGTATACTGTTCATTTCGTGACAAATTGGGAGGTGGGCGCCCATAAGCGTTTGTGTTTTGTTTCTCCCATTCGGAGTTTTTTTTTTGTTACCACTGCTCACGTCTGTCACCTAAATATTGGCCCTTTTTTTGCGAGGGTGTCCTCATTTTATGTGTGCGGAACCTGGTGGAGATGTAGATCCTGTCCTATGCCTCAGAGGAAGAACTACTTTTTCTTTTTTTTCCTCGACTCTTTTTTATTTTCCTTCTGAAACATTTGCATGGGACCATGGCAAATGTGCTATTTTACCGTTGCGTCGGCAAAAAAGAAAAAGAAAAAATTCAATAACGTAGCCGTAATGCTAAGAACTTTCACACAATATATGTATTACTTCAATCACTATTACAGCGTTCACAAGTTTTTATTTATTTAGGATAATATACATCAGTGTTAATGCCCCAAAGGAAAGGAAAAAGCTGTATTACATTAACAAGAGAACTCAGTTGTTCGCACACGAAGGGAGGATGAATATATATATATAATATATATGTGTAAAAAATATGCATGAATTCAGTAGTTATAAGTTATAGCAACCACCTTTGCATTAATTTATTGCAAAAGCGGTTTTGACATAAAATATAACCTTAACTGTCGTAATCAATCAGAGCATGAATTATGGCATAAAATTGATAGCATAAAGGACAGAGTTAATTATAGCGATACTTTTTTTTTTTTTTTTTCTTGTGTGTATCTCAGTTCTTATGATGGGGCAAAAATGGCTATCCCGCTCGCGAATATATAAATGTAAATATGTACAGATGTATACATGTATATATGTATGTATATATATTATATGTGTGCTACATTTTACAATTAATTTTGATGAAGTGGGAATAATTTCAGAATGTGTACAGATCTGGTAATTGTGCCCGCGGCCAGAACAACTTAATGTTTTGTTATGTGGACAGCCAAGTCTAGTACACGATTTGAGTATCCCCATTCATTATCGTACCATGAGACGATTTTGAAAAAGTTGTCATTCAATGCCAGACCAGCTTTCACGTCAAAAATGGAGGACCTCTTATCGTGGACAAAATCTTGGGACACAACTTCATCTTCAGTGTAGCCCAATATTCCCTTGAGTGGTCCTTCTGCTGCTTTCTTCATTTGAGCAGCAATTTCTTCATATTTCGCTGGCTTTTCCAATCTACACACTAAATCAACAACTGATACGGTACCGATGGGCACTCGGAAGGCAACACCTGTGAGCTTTCCATTCAATTCGGGTAACACCTTACCTACTGCCTTAGCTGCACCAGTGGACGCGGGAATAATGTTCGACAATGCACATCGGCCAGCTCTCCAGTCTTTTCCACCCTTGGATGGTCCATCAACTACCAACTGGTTAGCCGTCGAAGCATGTACAGTCGTCATCAAACCCTCAATAATTCCGTACTTGTCATTAAGTACTTTTGCAATTGGAGCTAAACAGTTGGTGGTACATGATGCATTTGAAACGATGAGTTGTTTCGGATCATACTTATCGTGGTTAATGCCCATAACATAAATAGGGGTGTCGTCCTTTGGTGGGGCGGACATGATAACCTTCTTTGCTCCTCCCTTAAGATGTGCATTGGACAATTCCTTGGTCAAGAACACACCAGTGGATTCGCACACAACATCAGTTTCGTATTTGCCCCATGGGATTTGCGCTGGGTCCTTTTCGCTGTGCACAAAGATTTTCTTGTTACCAACGGTGATCCAGCCATCGCCTGCGGTTATCTCTTCTGGAAATACACCGTGGATAGAGTCATACTTGAGCAAGTAACACAAGTGCTTGATGTCCATAAATGGGTCATTCACTGCGACTACCTCCTAAAGGGTTGCGAAAAACGGGGAAGAAGCGATCATGAGGGGGTCAAGCATGCGAACAGTTGTGAGCCCTGCCTGGGGTGGCTCGTCCCGTCATTTCAACCTTTTAAAGAATGTAAATGGGGAAAAGAAAATAAATACATTCAAAATCGTGTACGCACATGTGTAACATGGCTCTGTTTGCCCCAATGCTGAGCACAGCTAGTGCGAACATCATAACTTCCCAGGGAAAAAATCATTTGGAAGATGCAAATTTCACATTTTTTCATTTTTCAATTTTCATTTCTCATATTTCTCCCTCGCGTAAAGAAAAATACTTACGACGTCACTCCTTTCGTAAGCCGATCTGAACACTAAACGTCCGATACGTCCGAATCCATTAATGCCAAGCTTTGTTACGGCCATTTTGCTTTGCAGAGATGTTAAGTCGTTTATAGGAAGAAATATTGCTTATAAAAAGCAAGCTTTTTAAGGATACGTTATATAGAAAGTGGAAAGTTTTGGAAGAATGTCGTTTTACGAGAAGAATGCGTGAAAAAAGTTCAAGCGAAAACATTAAGCAAAAATGTCTTATAAGAGAAAAAAAGTGTTTTGTTTTTTGTAATTAATTTTTATAAAAAATATTTTTTTTAAATTAAATTATATTTTTTTGTCGTACGAAATAAATTTTTAAAAAATACCAAAAATAACGCGCACGAGAAAATGGTTTTTTAAAAATTTAAAACTGACTCCTTCATGTGGCCATTTTATATATATATTTCGAGACATATGACAGGAGAGCTGCAAAAAAATACGAAAAAAACGTCAAAAAAAAGCAGAAAAAGAAGAAATATAACCCCTCCGACGTTATAATGGCATCACTTAACCACAACCATGCACCTAATTACGCGTACGAGAGCGACACATATGTAGAAAATTAGTGCTTACCTGGAAGGAGAAATTTAGTCGGTTATTTCGTAGTAGTCCACAAATGCATACACGTGCGCTTACGTACGGTGCGCATATGTACATATAATATGCATAAGAGTACATTCGCAATTGCTGCACCTGTACTTAGCCTACCTCAACGTGCGGCATGTAACGTTAACATATATGCTAAGAATAAGCGGAGCATACAGGCGCATATGTAGGGATACGTTCGCGTGCATATGTGACTGATTGGCATAAATTCCTGCAGAAGCCGTTTTTCATGGAGGCACGTAATTGCTTCAAAAATTGGTACTGCAAGCAGGCGCTTTTCTTTGGTGAGTGTGAAAAATCGTTTTGGATTCCTATACGCAGAGGGCGCAATTTAAGATGACGAAGTGGCGAGTGGCAAGCGGAAAGTGCACACATGCCATCTTCGGCTCTTATTCGCTACGCGTAACGCGCTGTTTCACATGGGCAGTTCAAATTTTGCGAACTCTACATGCCCAGCCTGCGCTGCGCATCTTGTATAATGCAATACGTAACTTTATATATATATATTTATTTGTGCATTTTATATTTATTTATGTATTAATTTATTTTTACATTTATATATTTATACATTTACATATTGTTTGTATGCGCACTAACACCTGTGGTGCAATTAGCTGCCTTCCCGCCATTGCAGGATTTTGCAATACACCATTCCTATCACAGGAAGGGAACTGCTTTATCAGCTGGCCATTTTTTTTTCTTAAAGACATTCTTAAAAAAGCGCTCACGATGTGGACCACATAGCAGCAATAATCGTGATTGCTGTTTGGTAGAAATCAAAAGGAAAATTAAGATGTCAAAAAAAGTTAATATAACAATTGCTTATAAATCACCGCGGAGGCATATTATTAGGGGCCTCAGGTGGTTATCTTTCTCTTCGCTATATTTATATATAAAATTGATATGTTGTACTTTCGCCCCTTTGTTTGCACTTTTCTTTATTTGTGAAGTTTTTTTTTTCATTTTTGATGGTTACAAAAGTGTGCACTTTATTTTTACCTTCGATTTGATGGGATACAAGGTGTATGCCTTTGCGCATACTTCGCGGCATACTTTTCTCGCCGCAAGTTGGTCATTACATCGTGTATAAGCCTTATGAGCAATTTGGCATATAAAATTTACAAAAAAGTTACCATTTAGAGAAAAAAAAAAAAAAAAAACGCAAAATGGATATAGAAAAATAAGATAACCGTACTGCTGAATAGTACCTGTGTTTTTTTGTAGTGTACTCCTTTTGGCGAAAAATGTAGAAAGTGAAAAGAAGCCAAAAAGAGAGAAAGGGGTGTCATTTCACGTGATAGCAATAGTAGAACCCAACTTACCATTACGAAAGGACAATGGGATTTTGGAGAGGTTGAAATGTAGGCACAAATTTATGAACGTTTCACAAGATACATAAAAGGGTATATACGTAATATCTGCGTACACGCTTAATCCATGTTATATCGCCCTCTTTTGACCATATTTTTTTTGCTTTCCCCTTATGTGGTCCATTACAACGACTTTTTTCGTTATAGGAATCGTAAAAAAAATAAAATGATTTTAATGTACGTTTTAATGGTGTTCCCTCTTTTTGTTTCTTTTTTTTTCTTATTTGTTAAATTTGCATTTTATTTTCTGTAATTAAAGGGGAAAAATTGTTTGCGCGTATTGGTATAGCATGAAAGAATGTACCCTATCCATGGGCGGCACACGTCTTTGCAAAAGGCCCCGTACCATGCGGAATCTTTTTCTCTGAACAAAAAAAAAAAAAGAAGTGTAGACTTGTTCATTTTTTTTCACCCCCGTCGCACAACCCCAAAGCTAAAGTCTCTTTGGTTCACATACTGCAGGAGCAGACGTGTGAGAATTTCACCGTGAATGTTATTAAGCAAATTGTTTAGCTTCTTCAAATATGTAACACTCGGTCGCGTTAAAATAACCCAGCGCGGCTCTTGTGTGTGCATGGCATTCATTTCGTATGGGAAAATAACTGATCGAAAAAGAAAAAAAAAAAAATTCAAAACGTCATAGCATAATTTTGAAAAAGCCTTTTTTGTGTATCTACGCATTTACGTGCCACACTTGGGGAAAAAGGTAATCCTCACGTTTATGGAGACCTGTGAGAGGAGGTCTTTTCCCTAGTATATAACCTTCACGGCGTGTAAAACGAAGGAAATAAAGAACTACGTGGGAAGTAGCCCCTATTTCACCTTAAACAAAAAAAGTA